GGACTTTATATCTAAAAATTACCTCAACTTAGCACCAGCAAGCTTGTTAGCTAGACAGTTAGCATCAGCTAACAATATTAAATATTAAAATCAATATTTTATATTGTTAATCCAAACAATATAAAAATGTATACTGTTGATAAACAATATAAAAACAGACGTCACATAGGGCTAAAAGCTTAGCATTTTAGTAAAACTGTTAACGTTACGGCAGCGGGGAATATGAACGTGCATGAGTTATTTTAATGTTTTGTTTTTTTTACCTAAAACAGAGACACTGATGTTGATGTGTCTGCATTCAAGCATTTCAGTGGGCTTAAATAGATCACCCTTTACAGCAGATTTAGTTCACAAACAACTGACAGTTTTGACCTAAATATGATTTTCACTTACAATAATTAATCCTAAAATTCGAAATTAGTAACTTACTTTTAGCAGCATCACAAGATCTACCGATTCTTACTTGTGAATTCAGTTCACTGGAGACTCGCACTAAACGGTTCATTTGAATCAGTGAGTTGTCGACTCGAGAACAGCTGCAATCGTTTAATTCCAATTTGTGAATGAATCGTTTGGTGCGATTTGCGAACCAATTTAAAAGGTTAATTGAAAAGAATCAGTTCGTTCTTGAATCAGACACCGCTTCTGCGTGTCAAAGCACGTGATATATTATAAGGAGTAACGATATGTTTTATGAAATGTAGTGAAGTAAAAGTAAAAGTTACTCAAAATAAAACTACTCCAGTAAAGTACAGATACTTGAAAAATGTACTTAAGTACAGTAACGAATTAAAACTACTCCGTTACTGTCCACCACTGCTAAAAAGTAATAAAGATTTGACAGTTTATTAATATTTTGCCTACTTTACACCCTGCACCCTGCACTCTTTCATGCAAATTACATTTTCCCCCAATAATGGAAATTCCAATGATTAGTTCATGCTTCCATTTGGATAATGTTTGTTTTGGTACTTAAAGAAAACTAGCAAAAGGTTCATGGTGATTCTGTAGCCAGATGAGCCAACAGTGTGGAGTGTATTTTATACACTCAGGATTATGTATCTCTTACCCTTAAATTCATTTTTTAGCATTTGATGTTTTGTACTGATTATCTTCAAACTGATTATGTAACTTGCACGACACTTGCATTACCTAACTAATAATAAAATGTTAGATTCTGACATTTTCTAAGATAAACAGCTCTAGTAAATTACATTAAGTGCATGAACATCTAAAAACTAGAAACTACGTTTGCATGGAGCATGTCAGCCGGGATTCTAGAATTCTGATTAACTGCTTGACTTTCATTATGTTGTTATAAATTTGTCTTAACTGTAGGGGGCTAGATAAAAACTCGAAACTTTAAAGTGGTCATGAACTGCATTTTTAAAAATATTATAATGCTTCCCGGGGTGCACTTTTACATTAAAAAATGTCATAATTTACAAATAAAAAGCCATTTTCACCTCTGATAAAGGGAGTTATGCTACTCTGATGTTAAAGGGTGTGTTCTTCTCTCGCTTTCAGTATAAAATGTAATCACTAGGGATGCACCGAAATGAAAATTCTTGGCCGAAGCCGAACAAAATTAAACACTGGGCCGAAAGCCGAATACCAAACACGGTTTTTCAAGTTTTTTCCCCCATGTATTTTGACAATTTTTTCACCATTGCATAAATTAAATCGTCAAAATTTGCTTTTTATTGTTTGGTCTTGTTTTTCAAAGAAACAATCAATTACAAAACAACAATTTAAAAATATTTAACACTAAACATTTTTTTACATTCTAGCAGACATTATACCAACAAAGCACAATTTAACTTAAAATTAATAAGTTACTAAAATAATATTCTTTGGCCATCAGACCCCCTTCTTGAATCAGGCATGTATTTTTTACTGTAAAATTAAAAGCAGCCTCGCTGGGCAGAAGAGACTTCTTTAAAAACATTAGAAAATATTACAGATCCCAATTTGAACACTATGTGTGTATGTTATAATAAATGTATTAACAGAGCTGTTGTAATTATTATCCTTATTATTGTCTTACTTTTTATTTTATTTTACAGAACAACAGTAAAATTACAATACTAACATTTATGAATGTTGGAGTTCTTGCTTTTTGTCAACATTTATTTTGGCCGAAACGCGCAGGAAGACCTCTGCTTCTTTTTGTTGACAGTAGATTTATAAATAAAACTTAACGTTCTGCATTTCGCGATTTCAATCATCATACAGTAAACCAGCAACAATCACCCCTTCCTCTTCTCATCAAAGGCATGCGATTAGGGATGTAACGATTTGACGATAAATCGTGATAAAATATCCCATGGTTAGTATTACCGTTTCATATTTTAATTATCACTATAACCGTATTCTATTACCGCGATTTGAACAACTGAGGATAAATAAATACGGTCAAGCACAGGGCTCCAGAGTGCGACCAAATGGGTGCATTTTGCGATCATTTTTTCTGCCCGTGCGACTAAATTTTGTGTGCGGTCGCACTGGCGTGACCACCGCATTGTTTAACTCATAAGTGCTGCCATATCTGTTGCATATGAGAAACATCAAATGGCAAATGAAACTGAAAGCATAACGAAACCGCTCTACTCGTTTGAACTGTGCAGCGCTTAGGTTTATACTCAGAGCATGGTTTATACTCGCCACGTCAGCACCAGCGCGAAGGTGCGCACAGCAAAAAGGACGCGAATATTGAGGAGACTATGGATGGGTTTCATGCTAAAGTAAAGTAAAAGACCACTTCTTAAACCAAAGTTGAACATGTTGGTATTCTTGTGGGGGAAAAAACATGCAAGCACTGTCACATACAGCAAATTTAGTTTTACTTTTCTTTTTGTTTTAATTTTGAAAAGCTTGTTATCTTTACTCTTTACCTCACGTTATGCTATGGAAGCTCTCTTTTTTATTTATTTGATTCCTCAGTGTTTGCTAAACGTTCTGTAATTTATTAGTCGGTATATAATACAGCATGTGGTGTATGCCATGCCTCGTCTTATTCGTTTTTGTTAATAAACGTTTTGTAAGCTAGTTTGTCATTGTATCTTACTGTTTTATTGTTGTTATGCTTTTTAATCAAGAATAACAATGAATCCATCTTTTGAGATAAAAAGTGAAAGGTGTGTAGATGTATGTAAGCAAATCAGACAATTATCTTTTCTTGTAAAACGTGACACCAAGATCGCGAATTCGAAAGTGAAAGCACCTGAAGCCCGGCTTATAACATAGCAAAAGAGGATCTCCCATTCACAAAATTTAAATCACAAATAATACTGATGAAAAAGAAGGGGTTGAATGTTAACCACTTTCGTTTTCATATAATTATAAACTATGATAAAAGTTCATCAGCATGCATTGATTAAT